TGGGGAGCGAAAGTCTGCTTTCTTCGTTGAGGTCCTAAAATAAATTAAGACCTGTCTTCCAATTCAGGTCAAACAGGGCCAGACGGCAAGAGCTCAACATGATTATCTGTTGCGGTGGCTGAAGAGACGTAAGCGTTTCTTCCAAACGGTGAAGGTCAGCAGCAGGCAGATCTGATTTCTCCTTCTGCCCCTTTCCTCCCTCCTACCCAAAGTCGCCCTCACGTGACCAGCCCTTCCCGTGAAGTCGAGGTGCTGCACTCAGGAGAACCAAGGCAGAAGGGAGATGCGAGGAGTAGGGACAGAGAGAGGGGGTTACTGGCTGGAGCTAAAATCCACCTTGCAGGCCAGGCGCACTGGCACACAGCTGTAATCCCAACACTTCCAGAGGCTGAGGCAGGTCGATCATTTGGGACCAGCAGTTTGAAACCAGTGCGGCTCACATGGCAAAATCCCATCTCTATTAAAAATACAAAAATTAGCCAGGCATGATGATATGCTTGTAGTCAGCTACTCAGGATGCTGAGGCACAAGGAATGCTAGAACCCAGGAGGCAGAGGTTGCAGTGAGTCAAGATCATGTCACTGGACTCCAGCCTGGGTGACAGAGGGAGACTCTTGTCTTAAAAAAAAAATAAATAAAATCCACCTTGGAAGCCAGGTGTGGTGGCCGGCACCTGTAATGCCAGCACTTTGGGAGGCCAATGTAGGAGCACTGTGTTAAGTTCAGGTGTTCACAACCAGCCTGGGCAATAATAGCAAGACCTGCCAGGCGCAGTGGCTCATGCCTGTAATCTCAGCACTTTGGGAGGCTGAGACCGGCAGATCACAAGATCAGGAGATCAATACCAACCTGGCCAACATGGTGAAACCCCATCTCTACTACAAATACAAAAAATCATCTGGGTGTGGTGGCACATACCTGTGGTCCCAGCTACTCAAGAAGCTGAGGCAGAAGAATCACTTGAACCCAGGAGGCAGAGGTTGCAGGAGCTGGGATCACGCCACCGCACTCCAGCCTGGGCAACAGAGCGAGACTCAGTTTCAAAAAAAAAAAAAAAAAAAGAAAAAAAAATTCATAAAAAATTTATCCCAATCGTGAAGATTTCTTTGCTAAACAAATGTGTTTTCTTACAACCCACAGGCGAGGAAACGAGACCTCTTTCGTTCCTTCTAGAAGGTCTGGAGGACGTCGAGTCATTGAAAATGCAGATGGTTCTGAGGAGGAAATGGACACTCGAGATGCAGACTTCAATGGAACCAAGGCCAGTGAATAAGCAACTTTCTAGAGTTTTGCACCACGGCAAGAAAAACAACCAAACACCCAGAACAAAACAAAACCCAGCTGACTGTATTTAGCATTGTCTAAATCCATCCTCAAATTCCAAACATCACAGACACTCCTCACACAAGGATTATAAAAACCACCACCCTCCAGCCTGGGCAACATAGTGAAACCTTGTCTCCACAAAAGTTTAAAAATAAGCTGGGCATGGTGTGACACACCTGTGGTCCCAGCTACTAAGGAGGCCAAGTCAGGAGGATCACTGGAGCCCGGGAGTTTGAGGCTGCAGTGAACTATAATTGCATCACTGCCCTCCAGCCTGGGCAACAGAGTGAGACCCTGTCTCCACCACCACCACCACTGCCGCCGCCCCCACTACCCTGTATTCAAGGTATAAATTGGATGTACGAGATGAGAAAAACCCAGCAGGAAACACAGACACGCCCTCCAGCTCCATCAGTGGATTATGCAGACACTGAGTTTTCAGAAAAACATATCCACGGTAACCAGTCACTGGCAATTTTGTTTACATGAAACGGGGAAAAAGTCACCAAAATGGGTGCCGCCCCCCTCCCCATTCATTCCCTAACCTGTGAACCTTTCCAACTTTTCATGTCAGGCCCTTGTTTGAGAGTTCTTTTCCCCTATCCTGGTTTCCACACCTCAGACACGCACAGTTCACCAAGACCAAGTGCCTTCTGTAGTCACATGGATTGAAAAGGAGACGCTGCTCCCACAGCGGAGAGCAGGAATGCTGCACGGTTTACTATACACCCTGACTGTACTTACAAACACCTTCACTAATAAACGGTTATAAATCACTAGCATGTCACTGGCTTTTCTGTTGAGCCGTCTTCTAGGGAGCAAAAGAAGTTGGAGACATCTGGGTTTTACTTCATCATCCCAGACTCTCTGAAGTCAGGGTTATTTCAATGGGAAACTGAGGCCTAGGGAGGTGATATCAATTGCCTAAGATCCCACAGCCAGCAAAAGGCAAGGCAGAGATGCAAAGTGAGACTGTCTAAGAGGGTTATTGGGCTGCCAGGGGGTGGGGAGTAAGGTAATGTAAGGTCTACGGGCCACTGCCCCCTGCCCTTCAACATGACTAAGAGCATCCTTACTCATCAAAACCAGAATCACAAGAAAAATACAAGATTTCCTTGATTTTTTTAAGCTAAAACACAAGGTCTTGCCCAATGAGTCAGCAAACAGCTTCTCTAAAGAGTCAGACAGTGGCCGGGTACAGTGGCTCACACCAGTAATCCCTGCACTTTGGGAGGCTAAGATGGGAAGATCGCTTGAGGCCAGGAGTTGGAGACCCAGCCTGGCCAATAGAGACCCCCCCTACCAAAAAAAAAAAGTCTTAAGTCAGCCAGGCAGGACAGTGCACACCTGTACTCCCAACTACTTGGAAGGCTGAGGCAGGAGGATCGTGTGAGCCCAGGAGTTTGAGGCTGCAGTGAGCTATGTAGCCTAGGTAATAGAATAAGACCCTCTTTCACAACAAAAACCCAGCCAGATAGTATTTTAGCTTTTATAGGCTACATATGGTCGAATATTCATCATGTTTAAAACAACTCTTAAAAACATAACATAATAAATCATTCTTAGAGTAAGGCCCATAAAAACAGGCTGTAGGCTGGGCACTGTGGGTCATGCCTGTAATCCTAGCACTTTCAGAGGCCAAGGAAGACGGACCATGAGGTGAGGAGTTCGAGACCAGCCTGGCCAACATGGTAAATGCTGTTTCTACTAAAATACAAAAAATAATTAGCCAGGCATGGTGGCACGTGCCTGTAAGCCCAGCTACTTGGGAGGCTGAGACAGAAGAATTGCTTCAACCTGGGAGACAAAGGTTGCAGTAAGCCAAGATCATACCACTGCACTCCAGGCTGGGAGACACACCAAGAGTCTGTCTTGGTGGTGGGGCAGGGCATGGGGGGCAGTGGTGGAGATGGGGAGAGGACAGGCTGTAGGCCCCATCCTTCTTTCAGCTTCTGTGTTTTAGACAGACGTGCCTTGCAAAGGCTCTGTTCAACACAAACGATGCCATATATCCCCAAGTCCGTGGGATCAAACAGATTTGGGAGACAGGAAATATGGGAACGAAGGACTCCACCCTATGACCAGATGCTAATATGCCTTGATTGATGCACAAACATATCCCAGATATATTTCTAAAAAGCTGGCTTGAATAGAAATTTTTGGAAAAGATTTTTTTCTTATTTCATAACTCCGTTAAAAAAAAAGTTTTTCACCACCCTGTGAGAAAACATGGAAGTACAAACATACAAAGCCTCTATGTGACCACTAGCCCAAACCAGTTCAACATTCACTTCTCTTGATTTTATTGATCTTTTAAAAAAATAAAAGGACATCTTTTCGGATACAGGTTAGGATGTTTCTAGGGTAAGAAACTCGCCACTGCAGCTTCATTTTCTGCGGAATTTCAGTAGCACTTGCAAAGTTCCATTTTCAACCTGAAGATATTTTTGCTGTTCTTCCAGAAAATAACTTAGTAACAAAATGAAGGCCATGAAGCTGCAGGCACACAGAAACTCTGTTCTTTTAACTTGTGACCCACAGAGTGAGACAGCAGTTCCTAACAAGCAGTGGTGAGCAGACACGCTGTGGCACGTTGGAAATCCTGTGTTCATGTCTTTGACAAGGAGGCCTCCTCCAACAATGATCTCATGGTGTAATCTTACTTGAAGATCACTCTGGTTACTTCATTATGGCTTTGAATGAAGTCCTATTCTTAGTGGCTGCATTAACAAGGCCACCCTACCCCAAAGACCCCTCAGGGTCCTGAGGCAGAATTCCCCCCACCCCGCCAGGGGACTCAGGAAAATGAATGACTGCAGTTTGCCAAAAGAGGACAGACTCTCCACTGACCCTGGTTGGCCTGAGAAATTACTCCAAAAACATACCTCTAGAAAACTCCATGAGAAGCAGGCTACAGTCTCAGATGTAGTGTGCGCGCGTGTGCGTGTGTGAGAGTGTGTGTGTGTTGATACTCGCTCTCTCACTCAGGCTGGAGTGCAGTGGTGCAATCTCAGCTCATCGCAACCTCCGCCTTCTAGGTACAAGCAATTCTCCTGCCTCAGCCTCGTGAGTAGCTGGGATTACAGGTGTGCACCACCACACCCGGCTAATTTTTTCTATTTTTAGTAGAGATGGGGTTTCACCATGTTGGCCACGCTGGTCTTGAACTCCTGACCTCAGGTGATCCACCCGCCTTGGCCTCCCAAACTGCGAGGATTATAAGCGTGAGTCAGGATGCCCCGCCTATTCCAGTTTTTAAAAAGGCATATGACAGTTCTGTTCTCTGTTCCCAGACATGATTTCAATACGCCACAAAGCATTGGGAGATTTCTTTCTGGAAGACAATTCCAGCTGGTTGGGGGCAGGGGGAAGAGCCTCTGAGAGGGACTCCATCCCACATTTAAGGAGATTCAGGACATTAAAAACACCTGTCAAGACAAATCAGAGGGCAGGCCTGGTGGCACACACCTGTAATCCCAGCACTCTGGGAAGCTAAGGCGTGAGGTTCACTTGAGACTAGATCAAGACCAGCCTGGCCAACACGGTGAAACAGTTCCTCACTAAAAACATAAAAATTGCCGGGTGTGGTGGCACACTCCTGTAGTCCAGCTACATGGGAGGCTGAGATAGGAGAATCACTTGAACCTGGGAAGTGGAGGCTGCAGTGAACTGAGATCACGCCACTGCACTCCAGCTGGGGCAAGAGAGCGAGACTCTATTTCAAAACACAAAAACAAACAAAAACAGGGTAGCCTCATCACCGACACCTTAGGGCTTTTCCCAGAAAGCCCCGTTTATCCCTCTTTGCAGTGCACACAGTGGCAGGCAGGGATGAGTAGACGTTTCCCAGGGGCAAACCCCAGATCACAGGTGACGGCCTGTCATTGGCTTGGGCTGCAAAGTCAACTATGGTGAGTGCTGGTTCTTATTTCTCTAACTTACAACAAAACAAAAACCTAGTGTAAAAAGACGACAAACAGTAACGACTCCCGCACCGACACCAAGAGCTTCAGCTTCCGTGGTTTTCCTAAAGCAACATCTTGACTACCCCCTGTGCTGACGGCAGCGGCGGCGAAGATATGTGTGAAGGCGGCTTCCCAAATTGCAGGCGCTTCCCCAACCTTCAGACAGAGCAAACCAAATTAAGCTGACATGACAGCTGTGAGAAACTGGCTAGCACCGGGGCCCACAGAGGTCTAGGGGTGAACATCAAGAGTCAGGAGCAGGGTCTCACAGGGTCTCAATTTTCTCTCCTGTGAAATGAAGAAGAGGACACTGGCTACCTGGCTCTCAGATTCCAAGGTCACACAAACGCCCAGTTTCAGAACCTCTAGAAAGACCCATCTCTTACCTATTAAATTGATTTTGGTTGTTTTTATAGCCTGGGCAACATAGCCAGATCCTGCCTCTACAAAAAAATGCAAAAAAAAAATTAGCTAGGTGTGGTGGCCTATACGTGCAGTCCCAGCTACTTGGGAGGCTGAAGTAGGAGGATCATTTGAGCCCGGAAGGCGGAGGCTGCAGTGAGTCGAGATCATGCCACCGCACTCCAGCAGCCTGGGCAATAGAGCAAGACCCTGACTCTAAAAAAAAAAAAAAAAAGGCAAGGCATGATGGCTTAAGCTTGTAAGCACTTGGGAGGCCAAGGCAGGAGGGTTGCCTGGAAAATTACTCTGAAAACTCAAACATACCTCTAGAAATCTCAGTAAGAAGCAGACTATAGTCTCAGAGGTGTATTCTCAAACTCAAAGCCAAGAGTTTGAGACTAGCCTGGATAACACACAAGACTGTTTATATAAAAAATTTTAAAAAATTATCCAGCGGTGGTGGCATGCACCTGGGGTCCCAGCTAGTTAGGAGGCTGAGACAGGAGGATGGCTTGAGCCCAGGAAGGTGAGGCTGCAGTGACCTATGGCCGCACCACTGCACTCCAGCCTGGACGGCAGAGCAAAACCCTGTCTTATAGAAAGAAAAAAAACAAACTTTTTTTAAAAAAATGTGTAATCCTTTTTAAGAGTCTCACCGTGTTGCCCAGGCTGGAGTACAGTGGTGCAATCTCAGCTCACTCCAACCTTGGCTTCCTGGGTTTAAGTCATTATTGCGCCTCAGCCTCCCAAGTAGCTGGAGCTACAGGCGCCCACCACCATGCCTGGCTAATTTTTGTATTTTTAGTAGAGATTGGGTTTCGCCATGTTGCCCAATTTGGTCTTGTGAACTCCTGGCCTCAAGCAATCCCCCCGCCCTGGTCTCCCAAAGTGCTGGGATTACAAGTCTGAACCACTGCATCTGGCCTAAAAATCCACGTGTAAAGGTCGACAGTTACGTGCACACCATGGAAAAGCTGCTTAATTTCCTGTCTCGTGTCTGCTACAAACCCATCAAATTCATATGGTTTAGGGCCTGGGGAGATGGTAGTCACACATCTTTCAGAATTCCTAAATCTGAAAGCTGCCCTGACTTTCTTTTTCTGCAATGAGTTCTCACTTCTTCACCCAAGCTGGAGTGCCGTAGCTCACTACAGCCTCAACCTCCTAAGCTCAATCGATCCCACTGGTCTCAGGCTTCCAAAGTGCTGGGATTACAAGTGTGTGCCACTGCACCTGGCCCTGATTTTTTTTTAGGCAAGAAAATAAATGACACTGTCAGAGGTCAGATCTGTGCTATCCCATGGTGGGATGGTAGGGTGGCTGGTTTCGGAAACACAGTCTGGCTAGAAGTTAATGCCAGTTTCTCAGAGGTTCTACAGATTAAAAAAACAGAAAATCTTCTGGCGGAAGCAGGGCCATGATTGATGCTCAACTTCCCAAATAAGGTGTTTAATTTTTTTATTTTATTTTTTTTGAGATGGAGTCTCGCTTTGTTGCCCAGGCTGCTGGGCAGTGATGCAATCTGGGCTCACTGCAACCTCTGCCTCCCAGGTTCAAGTGATTCTCCTTCCTCAGCCTCCCAAGTAGCTAGGACTACAGGCACATGCTACCATGCTGGGCTAATTTTTGTATTTTTTTGGTGGAGATGGGGTTTTACCAACGTTGCCTAGGGCGGTTTCAAACTCCTGACTTCAAGTAATCCACCTGCCTCGGCCTCCCAGAATGCTGGGATTACGTGCGTGTGCCACCATGCCTGGCCCAAATAAGGCCTTTGTACAGCACCTTCTTACAGTGTGACCATGAGTAGCAGCTGTAGAATCAAATGATAAAAATGACCTGCTTGGCCAGGCATGGTTGCCCACACCTGTGGTTCCAGCAGTTTGGGAGGGTGAAGAGTGAGGATCACTTGAAGCCAGGAGTTTGAGACCAACCTCAGCAACACGGCAAAACTTTGTCTTCAGAAAAAAATGCAAAAAATTGGCTGGGCGCAGGGGCTCACATCTGTAATCCCAGCACTTTGGGAGGCTGAGGTGAGTGAAACATAAGGTCAGGAGATGGAGACCATACTGGCCAATACAGTGAAAACCGGTCTCAACTAAAAATACAAAACTTAGTCTGGGCGCAGTGGCTCCCGCCTGTAATTACAGCACTTTGGGAGGCCAAGGCGGGCAGATCACAAGGTCGAAGATCAAGACCATCCTGGCCAACATGGTGAAACCCTGTCTGTACTAAAAATACAAAAATTACCTGGGTGTGGTGGCAGGCGCCTGTAGTCCCAGTTACTCGGGAGGCTGAGGCAGAACTGCTTGAACCCAGGAGGTGGAGGTTGCAGTGAGCCGAGATCACAGCTTAGCCTGGCGACAGAGCAAGTGCCGTGTCAAAAAAAAAAAAAAAAACAGGCCGGGCGCAGTGGCTCAAGCCTGTAATCCCAGCACTTTGGGAGGCCGAGGCGGGTGGATCACGAGGTCAAGAGATCGAGACCATCCTGGTCAACATGGTGAAACCCTGTCTCTACTAAAAATACAAAAAAATTAGCTGGGCATGGTGGTGCGTGCCTGTAATCCCAGCTACTCAGGAGG